AGGAGCACTATTTATCAATCTGTAATAAAAGACGTGAGGAAATTCTGTCTTTTTTAAAGACAAAACTTTTTGAGGCGAAATACCCAAAAAGAAGTTTGTAAAAAAATGAATCCGCCTCAACAATATAGAACTTATTTACTGTTCTGGTTTTTAAATAATATTCTGATTAGACAACTTTGTTTTACCAACAGGTGGCATCTTCTAACGATCAAAAAACTATACGACCCTAAACTTATTCTTTAAGTTTTTTATATTTCTATAATGTACTTCTTATAATTTTGCGTTCATTTGTATACTTTTGTTAATTTTTCGTTACTAAGTTAGAATAATGGCCTTAATTCAAGTTAAGTCTACTACTTCTGTTTCTTAAATAACATTTTCGTTAGGCAAATTTCCTGTACTAGCAAATGTTTCTTGTTCTAACTATGAAGAAGCTAATTTTAAGAACCAAAATTCACTCTTTAAATTTCTTACAATTCTATGGATACATGTGGTATAATTTTACCTTCATTTGTGTATTTTTGTTAATTTTTCATTAATAAATTAGTATATTGTCTTTAATTAACAAAAGTAACGTGTACAAATCCGGTTTCTTTAATAACATTTTGATTAGACACATTTCTTTCACTAGCAAACATTTCTTCTTCTATCAAGAAACTGTTTTTAGGAATGTAAAAAAATTATATTTTAGACTTGGTCAGTTTTAGCTTTAAGCCCGCGATGTTTCTTACAATTTAATTTTCATTTATGTGTTTTGATTAATTTTTCATTAAAAAATTCGTATAATGACTGTGCTTAAAGTTCTCTGTTTTCAAAATAAAATTCTAATTAGAGACATTTTCTTCACCAACAGATAAACTTCTTATAACCATTAAAACAGTATTTACTCTTTTAAAACAGTATAATACAATATGTATAAAACAATCAATATATATTTGTTTTCAATTTAGTTTTTTTCTCAATTTTGAACATTAAATTGTTCAGCTGTTCACCTGTTGAGCAAAGTTGCTTTATTTATGCTACTTTAAACTGTGTATATCGATTGTTTGTTTTCAATAGAAAAATGAATGGTGGGATGAATGAGAATTAATTATTAAAAGGGAAAGCAAAAATTATTTTTCACGCTTCATTTACTATTTATTTTACTGTGGGTTTTCGTATTGTTTACATAATATTTATTATATTTGAGTGTCAGCTTTTTAAAAACTTGGAGCAAAAGAGGCGTTTTAAGAAACATTCTTGTCTTGTTATGATTAAGACAAACTGACGCAACATTGAGTGTTTGGTTTACTTTAAGTCTTTCGTTATTTTTACCTAATTTCGCTGTTTATTCACCAACAATCCAATTTCGCACAAAATACTATAATTTGGCGGGCTTCTGTTTAAACTGAAAATGTTGAAGTCTAATTTACTGTTTCTATTCCACTGAGACATTTGAAGGTTTTCCAAGTCGTACCAAACCCATTTGTAATATATCTCTAAACCACCCACGTCTCAATAGTGTATCAATGCACTAATTTTTGCGTGTTTATTGTTAATTGTTTTTTCTTCGTATGTTCTAACAACTTTATTTTCCCTCTGGCCTTTTATTAAGCTTGCAGCAACGAATTTTAAAGAATTCAAGTGTTGTAAAGGTTCAAGTGAAATTAATTGGAATTTAAACTGATGGGCCGCTACTGAAGTTCAATGTACCTGCATAGTAATTGCTATTTAGGTGCTATTTAATTGCAATTGACTCATTTCACGTGTGCATGATTTCCCAAAGGTGACCCTTATCTAATTGCTGAAATCCATTGTTCTTTTGCCAACTAACTAGTGCACAAATTATCGATACAGGAAAATACCCGGTGGATTATTGTCTGAGGATTTCAGCATATTTTTCACTCCAGAAGACGATTAGGCAAACACAGTTGAAATAATTCCAGTAATAAAGAGATGTCTGAGTAATAAACAGAACCTTTCCAGTTAATAAGCGTGTTCTCTTCTAGTTCTTGTGATAAAATTCTTGCAAATTTAAAAATACCTCATTCGCTTTGAGAATATATTTGCAGAACTTTAACAGTGTCAACTTTTTAAGTAAATTAAAGTATTTCACCATGACCCAAGTCAGGTAAGCCAGGCGGGCGCTTGGGAATCCTCAACTATTTTTTTTAAATTGTCTTGGAAACGACTGTTCATCAACCTCTCTTATGGCAGTTCAGTTTCTCTTCCTTCTCATTCTTCTCCTTCCAATCTTGAATGTCGGTAAAGTAATCAAAATATATGTTGTAAAAGACAATATTTATCACCCCTGAACGCCTGCCCACGCTATAACACCGTTCGACATGTAAGGTGGCTAAGAGTAGCCTTTCGATGTTTGATTCCTCTTATTCTGTAAGTTTTTCCTTTGTAATTAAACACGTACATTTTTTTTGACTCAGCAAAAATCGGTCGTGACGATATTCTCTCACTTCACCGATTAGGAACAAATGTAGACCCTAGCGTTTGCTAGAATCACTGTGTCATCCGCATATTTGATTAATGGCTCTCACAGCAAGAGAGTTAGTAGGCAGCTTTAAGTATCTATTCTCCTGTGTGTTTCAATATTGTCTGTTTTCAGATTGCTTATTTTTACTTGTACTGTTTAGTTCCAGGGAGGATTTTTTATTTATCCGATATATTTTTTTATTTATTCCAGTTCGTGTCGATTTCGGTCAAAAGCATAGCTTGTACGTGTTTTGTTGCTGGGAAATTCTACCATTAACATGATTATTAGAAATGTGCTTATATTAAAGGTATATTTATTTATAAAAATGAAACTCAAATGATGTTTTAATTTCTCTACTTCTTGGAATATCTTACCTAACCCGTAAAATAGCAAGACCCTTTGGAATAGACGTATTTAAAGGAGACATTCTTGCCTTGCAAAAGCTGACAAAACCCCTTGTATACCGAAGAAAATTGAACGTTTTAGTTCTAGTTCTGTCAACCCTTGTCCAATTGATTCTCTACATTCGTTTGTTGTTGTCCTAATTACAGTTTCTTAGAACATTGCCCGATTCTTTGAGCATTAAAGCCATTTGGCTGCGAAGAAACATTCAGGTGGTCAGTTTTTGAAACCTGTCGATATGTAGTTGGAAAACGAATGTTATACATGGCAATTAGTACGTTCCAACTCCCTCAGTTGGAAAAAACTAAGCAGGTAAATCACTGATAGAAAAGTCGAACGTTTAACGGTTGAGTGGAAGCGTAAGACCTCAAAAGGTTTTTACAATTGATTTAGCACGAAACTGTGCATGGTTTGCAAGAAATATTTCCGCACAATATGGGCAAATATCGGCCGCCTTGGGCTAGTTTCATATGGGAGACTGATATCTAATGTGGCATTAATTTGTGTTCGTTAATTAGAGGGTTATTAAGTGTGCAGTTTTACCAAACATCCTGGTGGTGAATCAAGTAGATTTTTTTCACGATTTGTCAGTAAACTGAATGAAAATTAATAAGCACTTTAACCATGAACCATATGGATCGCCTTTTACATAGGCGCTAGGCAAAATTAATTATGAGCACATTCCCATGGCGAATTCGTGCCAAAATGGAATGCAAATTCCCAACTCCATATCCAACTATTTATATCACGATACATTTAATTATAGTTACACATTAAATGTACCAAGTCTGAATATTTATGACCGCGAAACGTATTATTAATTTATTAATAACATAGTATACATTTAATTACTGATACGCAATCTTAAACACCACTTTGGGCATATAAATCTAGCGAGCATATGTAGGGTATAGAGTTACAAATTGTTTGTTTGTCTTTGTGCGAGAGCGTTTTCGAAAAATGCCTAATATTTATTACACGGCATTTATTCGCTAACTATGTGGTAAATGTTGTGTAATCTTCGTGACATTTCAATGAACATTTCCTACAGTAAATAAAATTGAAAATTGATGAGAAAAACTGGGCTCGGCATATAACATTTTCTAACAGGAGTGGCAAAAGCGCTATTCTTCAAAAAAAAACACCTTTTGTACATTACAACTGCACGCTTCTTCATTTTCTTTTTTTAAATACACCAAAATCTAGTTTAGCCAGTTAGCCTCTTCAACTCTCTTTGCCCTATTTTACCTTCTTCTATTTGCCCCAAAATACACTTTTTATGAAGCAAGACATTTTAGGGAAGAATTCTTTTTACACTTAACTACTTTTTTACTACTTAGAACGACTTTAAGGCAACATTTTGCCTTTGATTAGTTGAAAGTCGTAGATTTGAAAGCTGTTATAAATATCCGAGATTAAAGTTTGCAGAGAGCAAGTTAAACACTGTTTTTACTCGAATTTTTGCGTTTAAAGTTATAGTTCCATTTTAACATCTAGTTTTTCTAAAAGTCCGTGCAAAAAGTCCATCGGTCCCTCGCAGACGAGTTAATTGAAATCAGATCCTTTTGGTCATACTGACAACTTCAGTTGTATGATTCACTTTTTCATATCAGTGCAGGATTTTAGAGTTTAGACTCACCAATTTTACTTAAGCAAAGTGACTGTTTGAGTTTGTGCAAAAACTTATTTAAATTAATAATGTTCTTAAGTACACATATATAATGGAAAAATTTTGAAGTTCTACGCCGGTGGTGTAAACTTTTCATTGTAGAAAGTGGGAAATTACGCATGGAAAAACTCCTGAAAAGCTATATTTGAACAATTTTCAAGTTTTTTTGTTTCAATGCGAAAATATCGATTTTTTTAACCCCTTTTTTGTTCTCAACAGGGCAAGACAAAACATGGGAGAAGATGGAAACGGGGGTGTAAAGAGAAACCAAAAAGATGTAAATCGACGAAAAACGCTTGAAAAATACTTACCAAAATAAGCAACGATATAAGATGTTGTTAGTCATCCTAAGAGACGATATTCTAACCTGTAATAAAACCTAGACAAAAAAACATGCTCCCTTCTTTTTATTCAAAATTCACTTACATTTTCTATACCCAAGAAGAGTTCATGAATAGGAAAATTGTTGGTAAAACGATAACGACATCCTGAAATCTCGGAGTCCGTGAGACGTTTCTACTGCGTTTCCTTAAAGCAAAAGTCGACTATTATGTGCCATGTCTAGAAGTGCAATGTGAACAAAAATGCAAAAATTTTATTAAAATAACAAGTTAGACAATTAGAAATTACCGTCCATCTGTGGGTGTCGAAACAAGAATATCGGAGGTTTCATCTGTACAACTAAAACTATTGAACTGAGAATTTGTATGTATAGTTAACGATTCCAAAAATTTTATAAATTTGAAGGATACATTTTGTGCGAAGCGTTTTGTTCAAATCTGAGTATTTAAAGTGGAATTTGAAATTTCGAGATAAGAGTGGAAACTTCCTGTTTTTCGTCGAATATGGGTTTAAAGCTTAAAATCAAAGTCACATTTTAACGCTCATTTTTCCTCAAGTTTCGTGTAGAAAGCTTAATGTTCCGTTGTAAGTGGTTTAATCGACCTATAGGTTTTGAGCTAAAACTGTTAGTTTTTCTAAAAGGTTTATAAATATGTATGGTCATTAAATCTCGGATTTTCGCGTTTAGACGCAGAAAAGTCACTTGAAGTCCGATTTTTAAAAAGTATTTCAACAGTTCATAAAATTGTTCACTTTAATCATAGAAAAAATTATAATGTTTAATTATTAAGATTAATTATGAACCGTAGTTGTGGAATTTTCAATACGGCAACTGAGAGAAAAGAGTGTTTTAAGTAAAAGTCGGAACATTTTGCCAAAAGCTCATGATTCCGCCTTGAAACTTTTAACATAGAATGCAAAAATCATGTTTCTAGGGATTAAAAGCTCTCGAAAACTTACATTTTCCTTAAATAATCCTAAAGTAACATTTGCATTTTGTAATTCACAGACTATTCATCCACAATAGGCCAGTTTTTAGAATTTTCACTATTAACTCGACATTGTTGTAAAAAATTTATTTTTTACTTCAAGTTTATTGTCAAATGGTAAAACGTTGCAGACTATAAAAACGGGATAGAAAAAAAACTACGTACATCAACAAAAAGTATAGAATACTTACCGGAAGAAAACACGAGAAGCTCTTTATAGACAATTAAAATAACCTACATAGATATAAATTTTACTCACATTTTATTTTAACTGACAACAATGTACCTATAAACAGAAGAATAATATAATATTAAGCAATGACGCCATTCTCAAAGACTCTCTATCAAAGACTCTCAATTCTTCTATCTTCTATTCATAGCTTTAAAGTTTAGTCACAGTTTAATACCATGTTTGCCAAAAATTTCATGAAGAAAGTCCAATTTTCTACTGTATGTGTGTTAACTGAAGACAACTTGTAGCGGTAATACTGTTAGCTTTGTCTTAATGGTTTAATTATCCGTATTAGTGACGAATTTTTGTTCTTCTTGTTTTAGATGCAGAAGTTCAACTTAATGACCGAGTTTTTAAGTGTGTACCAGTTTACCAAATTTAGAATTTGCACATTTATAAGTTTTCAATGCAATGAAAGGACAGTTCTAAATCCCTTAATTCTTAAATCGAGATTTATCTACTAAATCAATTTTTCTTCAACCTCAAGTTTACTGTCTGCTCCGCAGAACGTGGGAGAAGGTAGAAATTGAATTGAAAGAAAAAGGCGTAAATCGACGAGAAAAGCAGAAAACTTAGATACCAGAAGGAGACACGGCAATGTTTTATAGACAAGAACAACAAGCCACATTGATATTAGATTTACTCACATTTTATTTCATCTTATTTTACGTCATTTTACGAAAAATGCCGCTACCTTGAAAGTTGTGTGTCCATATTGCATTTTATCAAAGCTGAATTCGACCATTATTTGCGATTCTTCTACCGGCAGATACCCAGGTTTAATGTGAAAAAACGACAAGAACTGGCTTTCATTAAATTAGCAGCTGATCCGACGATTTAGCACAGCACGGTAAATAATTAGAAATAACCGTCCCATTATGGGTGTCTAAAAATCATAATTTGCAAAACAAGAATATGGGATGTTTCATATGTTAAACTAAAACGGCTCGAAATGTCTTTGTAAGGCTCAGAACGGGCCGAAATAGCCAATACGTTTGACTAAATGCGCCTTTATTGCCTGGTGTGTGCGCTATGGTATTAGTAATGGTACCATAACCATGCATCATGGGGTTATAGACCATTATGCGGGGCATTAGCGCTTTTATGACCTTAATGGTTTATTTCGGCTGGTATGAGCAAAACGGGTTATGGTTTCGATTACATTCGCTATCAGTTTTAGATTTTTTCCCCATTCGCTTAACCGGTGTTGTACCAGGAACCACTTTGATTATACGGTATTTGAGCACTTTCACTTGCTAGGAACCGGTACCCTGTTGGGTGCACACCCAACCAAAACAAACACTCAAATCTCGTTCTGCTGCCTAAGTACCAGATGGGTATCCGTGATTGCGCGCAATCGGCATAAATTAACTTGATTACAGGTGAATTTGTTTGTCACGTGATGAGCATTCGCACCAATGGTACCACCGGTACGGGGCAACGGGCGGGCATTTGCAACGCGTGCTGCCGGCCACGGTCGCGACGTTTCGCCTCTGCCCTCTTCAGTATCACCTGCTAGAATAGTACGAGCTAAAGCGCGCACTAATGCTTTTTTCAAAGCAGGGAAGTTCAGAGAGAAATGAGAGATGGAGATATATAGAGTAATTCTGGGAGAGATGAACCACCTTTGTTGATTCGACTCTATCTTCACAACAAATAGCTTTATTTAGACTTGTTGCTGCTAAATGTTGTCACGAACATTTTAACTAACTGCAATCAGAACTGTAACTAAAGACCAAAAACTCGGACACATTTGCTGACAAAAAAATAAAATAAAAAACCGTTATGTGGTCCAACTAACCCGAAATCTGCGGGATAGTTGAACCACCAATTTGGGGCAGTTGGACCACACAGGGAGAGATGAACCGTAACAAAGGATAAGGAACAAAATTAAACTTAATTAATTTTTTAAAATTTTTTTAATAAAATAATAAGTTTTTTTGCGGCATTCATAAAGTAGACGAAGAGCTCAATGAGCCAGTTTTTTACTTTTCCGCACGGCTTTCTTGTAATTAGAGTAGCTTTGGGAATATTAAAGTGTCTGGCTGCGGCTTTGACCCCCATTGTTTTTGTATCTACAGTATTTACAACATTTTTGAGGTCTTCTTCGGTCCATCTAGCTCTTTGTGAGCTCAACTTGTGTTGGTATTTTGTAGGCATTGTATAAAACAGAGAAATAAATACCGGTTCAACTGTCCCGATTTACTCTGGTCCATCTATCCCAAATTTCAGGGATAGACGGACCACCCAAAAACAAAAAATCTATTTATTAATCGGCTTTTACATCATTTACGTTGTCCTGAATAAATACCATGTAATGCATTTTTAACCACAAATATCATTTTAAAACTTTTTTTTAGTTAGAATCGCACCTTCAAAATACCATTAAAAAAATGTCTACCATTTGTACATGCTACACACAAATCTACTATCGGAGTGCAACTGGTAGTCGTTTGTTGACGGGGTAGCGTTGAAATATTCTTCATATACCATGTACAGTCGAAAATACCCGACTGGTCCATCTCAGGCGGTGGTTCATCTCTCCCGGAATTACCCTAAGAAGAAAAACTATACAATTGAAACAGACATTTGGTACAAAGCGTTCAGCTGGTAACTGGTGCTGGACCTGTTGGGTTCTATTACTTAAAGTATGCGTTAAACAATCACTTTTGCTTCCACAAAGTTTAAAGATACTTATGTCCGTGCTGTATAAAACCGGGTGGTTCCTTAAACCCGGAACCACCTCCACGTTTTTGAAATTATTACAAAAATTGCTTTGCATAGAAAGTGGCAGATTAGAAGAATTGTTAAGGTTGAAGACAACAATGCGAACGCTCATAAGAACATGGATCGCATTTAAAAATGCAGGTTTTCCTGCATTCGAAGTTTCTGGAACAAAGCAGGCGTTAAAAGGTGGTGGAAGAAGAATTAAGGTTTCTTCTGTAGAAGGAGAACTTTCTGACATCAATAATCGGGTGCGAAAAAGCTCGGTTAATCATATACACACAGAAGCGGGTTTGATCCAATGGACCTTTTCCTAAAGAGCGAGGACAGTGTTTCTGCTGGATATTTTTGTGTGCATATTTCAAGAGTGTGGCACGAGGACGCAATAAGCAAGTATTGCATAAAATGGACTGAACTGAACGATGCGAAATTAGTAAAATGGTCCACATTAAGAAACACGCTAAGCATTGGATGTTAAAAAACTAAAATAATGAATCGAAAGAATGGGATATTTTTTCAAGAAATATTCCTAGATTACTTAACTACAATTGGATTTGTTGCATTGGTGTTATTATAAGTTACATTTTTTCAATACAAATATTGGGTTATTGTTGAATCCTCCGTGTTGTCCATTCCAACGTTGAGAATGCTTCACCTAAAACACTTTTTCAGTTTGAGCTAAATTTAATGCTTTTGTGTGCTGAAACTGTAAAACAACATCCTCTTATTGAGTCAAAGAGTCAAAGTACCGGTGAAAGAATGGTAAGTAACTTTCAAAGTACACATCGGAAAACTTCTAAGCGAATTCATAAAAATGCTAAACACTTTTCTGATTAAAATTTAAGTTGTTTGGAGATAATTTGAGTCGGAAAACAAAAACAAAAATCCATAAAATAATATTTAAAATTACGAATTACTATTTGAAATTTTCAAGTGTCTCTAAGCCTTGGTGAGAAGCAAGACGCAGTATGATTTTTGTGGTTACATTTAATTTCTGATTTTCACTAGCTTTTGTTTGGCTTTTGCTATTATTTGCCCGCACTATGTGTCAAGAATTTGCCAATTCCGCTTAACATTTCTGCCTGCTCAGATTTTATTGCGCCATTAATCATACTGTGTTATCGATGGTTTCTCTTCTTTTAGTTTTTTGCCGCATTTCAGCTCTTCCATTCCGCTTTTTTGGACAAACTTGCTTGTACATACTTCCGCAAGACTACGATTGTGTCTCTATAACTTTCAATACTTACAGTTTGCAAGGGTAAATTCTCTTTTTAGGAGATAGAAAGTTGGAATTTTTTCAGATGAATTCAATACTTGATGAAGAAGTCTAAGAATCAGAAATATTGGGGTTTATGGAAATATTAGAAATTCATTAGGTTGTGTGTTTTAGCTGGATTCTCTTCTTCTGACTTCTGGACGTTTTGCTCTGAATTTTTACATTCATAATTAATATCTACATGTTTATACTAATTATTAGTTTTCACCCGGTTCGTTAATTTTGTTGTGGCATTTTAACTCTTCAATCCCACTCTTTTGGACAACTTTTTATGCAATTTTTAGTATTACAGAAAACAGTGTATTTTGGAGCTTTCAATATGAGCTTAATCAGTATGATTTAAGGAGACTTTTAAATGTACACTCAATATCTAAAGGATCTTTCGGCAAAATGCGATTTTTATCCACTTTTCTA